ATAATGGTCACTAAGACTTTAAGAACTGTCTCACTCAGATGGTAACCTCAGACAGAGGGAGGCACTCTCACCCTAAGAAAAAGCCAGGATGTATTATTCACGCAGGGCCTCACCTGTGAGGTTCCCTCTAAACACCCAAGGTAAACCACCCACCTGAATCTGGCTTGCTCTGAAAACCATTCCATGAAGCATGACGTAAAGCTGTCACCTGTCGGAAGCTTATCTCTGTGTTATGTAATTATTTTTACAATGCTGATTTATGGAGAACAAGGTATGCCAACAGTGGTGGCCTCCAGGAAACAACTGCACCAAGTAGTAAGGAAGTCACGGCCAAGCCTGGGCGGGGTTTGGACAGCTCGTGCATTATGCAGTCAACACTCCCAAGAAATATTAAAGACACAGCCCGTGATTAGGGATGGCAAGAGAGGGGGAAACGATACCTTGCTACGACTCAAACTCTATCTATTGTCGGTCACGAGGAAGCCAGGGTTTTACAGACAGCAAGCAATACACACCAAGAAGAGTACACTCTGCTGCTCACCGACGGCCAGCTGGCTGCTAGCTGGGAGTCGGATCCCACAGGACGCCACTGCCAGTATATGAAGAACGAGAAGCTTCGCTCCCAAAGAACCAAACTCCAGGGTACAAAGGTCTGAGCAAGCTTCTTACGTAAATAACAGCACAACTTGTTTTTCCAAGACTATGAAAAGCAAAATTTGAAGTTTAATTAAAATAAGAGGGATACATTAAACAAAATATTTTTTGATTACTGATTGTGAGACTCAAGCACCCCCAAAACATTGGAGATCCAGCTTATTCCTGAGAGACATCAACCATCACAAGAGGTTTTACTCTGAACTATTCACATTTTGCAGCAAAAGACAAAACAAAGTTCTGCTTTGTTTCTAAAATGTCTTCTCTTTCTAAAATGTCTTCACAAATACGTTCTCATAATTCAAAAGAAAAACAGCTTTTGTTCTTACTTCTTAGCCAATGGGCCTATGACTCTCACCTTGGAATCTCTTAATAAGAATCCAACCAGAAAGTTGCAGGACACCAGTGGCTGCTCTACTTGTGTTCCCCTGTGAGGGGACAATGTCTGTCTTTCTATAGGGGAACCCTCTCCTGGGGTTACTGTGCCAGCCGGCAGTACCAGGAGTCGGGTGGGGAGAAGGGCAAATGGAAGAGTAAAAGGATAATGAGGCTTTCCTGAACAACCCACAGCAAGGCAGAATGGTCCAGTTTTACAAACCACCCTCTACAAACTCCAAACACACACATCCAAACTGAAGGGGAAAGAGCTCGGAAGGAAAATCGGGAGGCGGGCACGGGACCACAAAGGACAGTGACACAGAACACTTCCCTGAACTGGAAGATGTTTAGTGAAAAAGTTGCTGTTCAAAATTGTACTGAAAACATATCTAAAAATAGGTCTGTAGTCATTTAAAAATAAAAGGTCACTCTTCAGGTAAGTGACAGATATTATCAGATACCAACACTTGAGGTATCATCTTTGATGTAGATTTGAAAAATGGCCTGGGAGAGGAAAGGGAAGGAAAGAAAGGGAGGGAGATGGTAGGAAGGAGGGAAGAAAGGAAGGAGAATTCAGAGTACTGTGGGAATGGCAAGAAATCTGGGAGGAACACATTTTTAAATCCATGCTTATCTATCCCAGTAGCCAAACAAAGCAGATCCAAATATGTAAAAAATGTGGTTCTTTTCTAAGAACATTTCTAAAAGTTACCTTGTAAGAAACTGCAAGCCAAGACAACAAATAGCACAATGTTCAGTGGAGTTTTAAAACTGACTGGGACTGAGTACTCAAGTTGCTCAACAGTCTTTTAGGTGTTGTCTGGCAGAATCTAGGAGCAGGCTTTAACCATCAAGGGGAAGCAAAGTGCCTCTGTTACTTCCAATTGTCCTGCTCTGGGAGCAGGCGTCACCTGGACAGCTCCTAGTACAGAGGACTCTGTGGCAACAAATGCAGACAGAGAGGAAGGCAGAAGAACGAAGAACAGCTGGGTACTGAGCACTGAGTTTAAAAATACCTATACACATATCTGCCGAGTAAAGGAATGGGAAAAGAAACTACAATACCAAAGACAGAAGACATTCCTCCCAAGGGAAAGAGGGGATGCAGATTTCCAAACTGTGTCACAGAGCCATGCTACTTAAAGTTGCATAAATTGTGCTGCTCTGTCCATAAGGACAAATACCTCAAGGTAAAAGGGAAAGCAGCTTTCTTTTTATCACTTCCCCCTGCTGGTTTTAAAGATCTGGAACCCAGCGCTAAATCATGGGTGGGATACGAGGAGGAAAGACAGAGTAAAAAACATGAATGACGAACCTGCCAAACCTCTGCATCCCTTCCCCAGGCATTCCACACACGCAGTTGTTGGTAGACTGGTATTAGATCTGAGATAACTCTGAGGAGGAATAGGGAGATTCTCAATAGAGACAGGACCAGGGAAGACAGTTTAACTGTTTGTCTCAGTGGACAGCTTAGCTCTACAGAAGCGCCCCTAGCGCCTTCAAACTAATCTGTCTAGCTGGGCAGGGGACGGGAAACATGAGAATAAACAGCCAGACGCAGCTCATCTTCCTAGCATTTGGCACCTGAGGAAGAGGGGAGGTGGGGATGGCACTGCAGGCTGCCGGTGCTGCCTGTCTTTCCACTGTTGGTCCTGTTGGCCACAGCAGGTCTGCAGAAGTATCTGGGGTGCTGCTTTCCTCTTTTTGTAGGAGGTCAGATGTCCATCTCGAACTGAGAATCATCCCCTGCTTAGAAAAAAAAAAAGAAGTTGAGCACAAAAAGCAAAAGTTTTAAGAGTCATTCCTTATACAAAGTGGTAAAAAAAAAACAACTCATTATCTTTCTTGTTCTCTGCTGCCTCAAAACACTGTTTTGCTTTTTTGTTGATCTTTTTAATCTGACAAAATAATGTCAGCCACATCTCCCCCAGAGAACAGCAATTGGGAAAAGGAGACAAGGGAACGTCCCCACAGCCCCAGAGGGTCTGTGCCCAGGCTGACCACATAGCAGCTCTGAGGAGCTCTCTGTCACCCACCAGGTAAGCACACCGCTCTGGAGGCTTGGACTCAGGCCCTGCTCTGAACCCACATTTTCATACACTTAATTGGTTCCAGCTTCACGGAAGGCTAAGGCAGAAGAACAGCAAGTTCAAGGCCAGCCTGGGCATCTTAGCAAGGTTCTATCTCAAAATAATTTTTTTTTTTTTTTGTCTTTTTGAGACAGTGTCTCGCATGCAGCTCAGGCTGGCTTTGAGCTCACTTTGTAGCCCAGGCTGGCCTCAAACTCACAACGATCCTCCTGCATCAGCCTCCCAAGTGCTGGGATTATAGGCATGTGCCACCACACCCAGTTAAAATTTTTAAAAAGGTTTGGGGATGTAGTTCACTGGTAGAGTGCTTACCTAGTATTGGTAAGGCCCTGGGCTCCAGCAGGGCAAATAAAACAAAACAAAACAACCAAAACTCAATTGGAACTGGAGAAAGCAGAATGCTGGCTCATATCTAGGGATCACCAAAAGCAATCACTGAAGTATATATTCAAGAGCAGGCATTTCCACACCAGCACGCTGCTTCCACAGAGACGAAGAAGCCTCACTAGTAGTAAAACTGTATGTCTGTATAAGAAGTGTTTCTGTAAATATTATAGGCACTTCTGGAACATAGAGGAAACAAACCATACTGCTGTCCTCATACCACAAGAGCATTTTGTAAGAAAATAGGCCTATTTTCTGAGAGTGATGGGAATGTGAGCTGTGAGATTCATTTTGTTTTCTGTAGGGGATGTGTGTGGTTATCTTGAGCCCAATAAAGGCCAAGACTTCTCGAGACTTAGTTCTGAGAGTCCCCATTGGGACTTAACCATTCCCTTAGTTTGGATTGTATTCCCCTACCAACCAGATTTAATTATGATTTAGGACTCTGGGCTCCTAAAGCATTTCAATACACCTTCAGCGAAGAAAGAAAAAATCTTTCCCTCCTATGTATGCAATGCATGAATATTTTTTCCATATATAGCAAAATGACATTCAAATTCCCAGAGCCACCTCTTCATTCCCAATACCAGCATCTCCTTACCAACTGCATGCTTCCTGTCATGATTGTTCAAGTTGTTCAAATTGTTCACTTCTACTTTGGAGTCTTCGATTAAGGTGCCAGGGCGAGTAACTCCTGGGATATTGGGCAGATGGCAGGGCGGAGTTTGAGCCATGGGAGAATTGCGACGATCCAACAGAAACTTTCGATCATAAATGATTCGGGTTCCTGGAACACAGAGTAAAGAGTTTTAAAATAAAGTAAGGGGCTACCAACACATAATGCTACTCAAAACTTTAGTCTAAATTCCATTTAATCCTAACCCTTAAGGTTTTTACAATTCATGTCAATGGGAGAAATGCTAACCTCCTGCCCTTTCTTCCTCTTCCGGTGGGAAACTTCTGCTCCTCTTTCAACACTCAGCTC